ATAAAATTGTCTGATAGGAAAGACTGTTTTAACTATTATAATTTGCAACAGTCATATTAATTCTAGATACAAATATATGTAAACCAATGCCTTCAGGAAAAGAGGAAGATAATAAAGAATATTAAAGCAAGAGTCTCAGTTAAATAACAAAATTAAGGTGCACAGACAAAGCCAATGTCTTAAGAAACGTTTCATTTCCTTTTGGTGGTAAAATAGGGAGGGGTAAAATGTAAAGCATTGATACAGCTAACAAGCTGTATTGCCTCAGAAAAGGAAATAGCTGACAGTTTCTAGCAAGCTTTTAAAATAAACAGGAAGTTAAATGGAAAAGGAAAAAACAAGCCACACTGAATAGTCATATAATGTCTTTCACTTCAAACAAATGGAAATCTGCAAGACGAGAACAAGACCATTTGCGCTACTGACATCAGCAATATCAGGCATTAAAATAATTATTGAACTATAATAGTTCAAATATACAAAAAGGGCTATTCTTTTTTTTTTTTTTTAAGCACAGGTTTTATAGCAACTTTTAGTAACAAAATCTGATAATAAAAAATCTGTTTCCAAGCTTTAATTCTTTTATGGATTTATGTCTCTCCTTTGGCAAAACCTACTGTTAGTCAAGATAATTCCTGATTGTCAGAAAAGACTTGACCACATTTACCAACACTTTCTGGAGAAAAAGGGATTTCTTTTCTTTGCAATTTACAGAAGCAACTGTCTTTTTGCCCCGTGAGCTCAAGATAAGCATTGTACTTAACAGCTGTTAACTGAAAGCTGAAGATAGAGAGAATTGGTAGTCTCCTAACTGAAGTACACGCACACACACACACACAAAAATACTGGCCTGGTGTATTCTAAGAATACACTGACTTTGTCTAGTTTTGTTACAATTCAGAGGGTCCAAAAACTAATGCTTTTTAAAGCAGATTCTAATCTGGTATCTCAAGTATCAAGGAGAATTCTAGCCCTCAAATTATACAAAAATAAATTTTTTGTTTAAAGTTATGAGCACCAGTCTGTGGCAACCCTCATCCCATAATGAAACTATGGTTTATAGTTTGTACTTATGCATTTACATTATATTTTTTAATGATAAATCAATCTGAGTTCAGCATGATGTGAATATCCTTTGTATGGTTTACAATTCTCAGGATACAGAAAGGCAAGGAAATTGCATTCCTGTAACATGATAATCCATGTGTTCTGTTTGGCAAAGGCTTAATATTACTGATTAGTTAGTAAAATAATCAGGAAAAAGAGGGGCTTAATGTTCGTGTTACATCTACACTTAAATTTTCATCAAGTCCTAATAACTGGCTGATAAGCATTTTGAAACAGTCAAGAATCTAATCCCATGATTAGGTCATTATTACAGACAAAACTAAACTGATTCATTGATGTAAGTGACAGAGTTAAAAGAGGGAATTATATCAGTTACTATGAATCTTTTGCTTTGCATTACAAAATATGGATATCCACCTTTGTCTTCACAGATTCATTACAAACTGTTACCACAGAACAGTATTAACAGAAGGCCACTGAATCTACAGAACTTATTGGAAAAAGAGGAGACAAATCACCAGAGATGGTTGAACATTGGGCTTTAAATGGCCACAATCATTACTGATTATAAGTCTACATAATAATAATTATAAGACTAAAAATGTCCCAGTTACTTCTGCTCAACCCATCAGAACTAACTGGATGGGCACACTCCAGGTCCTCTCTATTCCACAATGTCATTTTATGGGACCCAGGAGTTGTGCCTTCTCTGCTGCTGTGGTGACCCTGTGGAACAACATCCCCCCTGCCCGAGATCTGGATGGCCCCAAATATAGTGGTCTTTTGCAAGGTCTTAAACACATGGTTGTTCCACAGGCCATTTGGGCTAGGATATTAAGCAAGCCCCACTGATTGTTTTGTTTGGTTGTTTTTACTGATTGTGAACACAAAATGTTTGTAGACCTCAGGGATGTGTTCTATTGATAGTCTTGGTTGTTTATTTTAAACAACTGGGTTGTTTTTTGGTTTTAATTCTCTGACACCAGGGATGACCTGCCATATAGATTATTTAAAGAAACAGACACAGGTTTAGTGTAAATCAGGTCTTTAGGGTTGATACTTATCATCCCAAATTAGTGGATCTATGGGATCCCTATTTAGGCCAAATTGACATTTTTCTCTCCAACTAGATATGGCCCTATGATGCACAACCAGCCTGCTATGTAAGCTCCAGAACCAAATTTGAGCATTAAGGCTGGCTGAGAGCTAATCAGTTATGCCCTGTATAGTAGACTAGGTAGGTCTTTAGTAAAATGTGGCCCTGGAAAGTCAGAAACCAATCCTTGTTGAGTTTCTACTCTGTGGTATGACTTAATTATTCTTAAAACAATTACCCTTGTCATTCCTCTATCTGTTACTTCATTCTATCAATAAGAGCCAATTATGTGAAGTGGGAGACATGAAAACAAAAGAGAAATGATGTCAGAAAATAGCATGATTTATGCTAGATGGAGGGAATAACGTTTTATTAACAGTACAGTATTATTTAGAGAATTTAAGTTATGTCATAAGATTATGCCAGTTTTTTTTTTCAACTATTATAATAATATATAGGCTTTGTAAAGTATGCCGCTATAAAGCACTACTGGTCTCAATTGCCATTCCTATTTGTTTCCTACAGAACACATGACTAGGGCCCAATTATAGCCTTTTCTAGGCCAAGAGAGTCTGGCAAGTTACTCATGCATCTGGCTCAAAATGGAACTGCCTGTTTGCTGACTAGTCAGTACCAATACAGCAGAACAATACTGTATTGCAAGAGCAGCACTGGTTTCCAGTTGGGTTCCAGATCCAATTCATGATAGTGCTAAAGCCCTTTATGGCTTGATCCTTTATTACCTTCAGGACCATCTGATGCAGGTAGAATCTAACTTCTCACTTTATCCTGGCTGAGAATCCTTCCACTCAAGATGTTAAGTGGGAGGAGCCTGGGAATGAGCCTTCTCCATGGCAGCCCCCTTATTCAGGAATAGCCTGTTTCCCCAAGTTTAGGATATCCCCCTCCCCAGTGGACATTTTGAGACTGCATTTCAACAAGCCATTGGGACAGAAGGTGCCACTGAGCTGGCACCTACTCAGAGGGATAAAGGTTAGGTGACTGCCTTGTGTTTCAAATGTAAGCCATCTAGAATCCATGGAGTAGGCAAATTACAATGTCAAGGTAAATAGATAAATAAAATAAAACACCTAAAACACAGATATCTTCATAACAGAGAACTTTAGAATACATTCAAAAACAAATGCCTCAATTTCTGATCTTCTTTCAATAAGGCAATAATCACTTCCCATTACGGAAGACTAAAAAAGGTCTCCATTTCCTCTTTAGAAAAAAAAAAAGCTATCTGCAAACTGAAATCATCTTCTATCTGTATTCTGAATTAACAGAAACTATATCTATATTCCTTTAAAAACAAATCCCTAATATGACACTCTAGCATAGACATTTGTGTAAAACATTTATGAAATTAACTCAGGTTTTAGCTAAGGACTTACCCAATGTATCTTTTAGATTTTTAACCAAGGAGCCTTTCTTCAAGCTGTTCTTTCTTTCCACATAATTTGATGGCACATATCCTGTTTTGTTGGCTGCATTTCTTACCCTCCACCATGTCTTGGAATCATCCAGCAGCCAGAGGCGTTCATTCTTTTTTATGTCAAGTTCTTGGTCCTGTTGGGCAGTATAATCCCACTTCGCTATAACAATAACTTCTTCTGTCATCTTTCATGGAGTCTCTCTGTCATAAAACAAATAGATGCATTGAAACACTGCACACGTTCCTCCACCATTCATTCAAACTTTAAGGCCTGAAAAATGCAAGAACGTATTTTTTAAATAAATACCATTCAGTGATCATAGTCATTACAATATTAAAAATACAAATTCACAGAAATGTAATCTCTACATCGATCATTAGTGAAAACTACAGGAAAAATTGATAGCCTTAAAAGCACAACAGAGTGGTCTGATTTTTTTATTCAGCTTCATGACACACTGGTTCATACTATATCCTCATCTTAGCACAATATGCTACTAATAATTTTAAGGGAATAGAATACAGTCCTCACAGTCCATGATCTTTGTAATTCCAATGATTGACTTGTGTGTTTTTCTACATGAACATCTGTCCATTAAACAGAA